TACATACACACCACATCTTCTTTATCCATTCGTCAGTTGATGGACATTTGTGTTCTTTCCATAATTTGGCTATTGTCAGTAGTGCTGCTATAAACATTGGGGTGCATGTGCCCTTTTGAATCAGCACTCCTGTATCCTTTGCGTAAATACATAGTAGTGCAATTGCTGGCTCATAGGATAGTTCTATTTGTAATTTTTTGAGGAAATTCCATACTGTTTTCCAGAATGACTGCACCAGTTTGCATTCCTACCAGGAGTGCAAAAGTGTTCCCCTTTCTCCTTGCCAACATCTTTTTAAAAAATGTTTATTTATTTATTTTGAGAGAGAGCATACATGCACAGTGGGGGAGGGGCAGAGAGAGAGAATCCTAAGCAGGTTCCACGCTGTCAGCGCAGAGCCCGACTAGGGGCTTGATCCCACGATCCTGGGATCATGACCTGAAACTGAAACCAGGAGTCAGACACTCAACTGACTGAGCCACCCAGGCACCCCTCAGAATTCACTTTTGATTCTGCCAAGATATGACCTAATATAGGTATGAACATATGAACCTCCTAACACATTTTAAATCTCATTCTCACCCAGAGTCCTTCTGCTGTTTTGTTGAGCAAGATGTGCCATTCAGCCTTTTTACAGATGACCAGTATGGTAGCCCTAATTTATTTATCTCTAGGAGATTCATTCCTGTGGGGTGTAAACAACCCGAGGTGTGGAATGGCAACAAGACACTGAACTAGGAACGCTGCTTTTTTAAGACGTGAGGCCAATTCCTGAGCCCTTCTTGACTTTACTTTCTTCATCCATGGAAGGAGTAGGTTGAACTCGATAAGGTGCAAGGGTCTTTTCGCTCCAGGGCAACATGATTCCAAACACATAACGTTTCCTGAGGAACAGAGCTTGGCAGCCATTTGTGCTGAGCCTTCTGTCTTGTGTTGTGAGATGAGGCAGCCCGGGCAGGGTAGATCTAATGGTTGCTGGAAGGGGACCCATACTGTCTATCATGTGTTTCTTTTTTTATTTTGAAAAAAACTTTGAGTTTTCACTGAATTATATTGGCTCTTAGTCATTATGGTGGTCTAAGTTTAAAAAGTAGTTTGTAAATAGGAAGAAAGTTGGATGAAGTAGTTTATCAAAAATAACTTGGAAATGTAGAGCAGGCAAGAAGATGATACTTTTTCAGTTTTAGGAAGAAAGATGATGACAGAGGGAAAAACGTTAATTATGACTGAATCATGACTCAGTTTTGACTCACGTAAGTTCCAGCTTGTACTTTGGGCAGTTCTGTGGCTAATTTATGGTAAGTTGGTAAAACATGGATGCATGAAAACGAGCAATATAATTTATATAGCTCATCCTCAAATTCATGAATTTTCTGAGGTCTCATTTTATTTTCTTTGAGCAGTTATTTAAAAACAATTTACAGCGCACAGATTGTGCATTTACCTTATTCTTATAAGTATAAATTAGTTTTCTTATTGAATAGTGCTAAATGAAAAGCAAATTCAGATAATTCTATTCAATGTTAAGCTAGATCATACTGTCCTACAAAATTATATGTCAGCATGTAGATCTCTGGATGAACACAAGTTAAGAATGTTCGATCTTGGTGGACAGCCTCTCGTTTGCTGGCCTGCCTGCCACTCCCTTGTGGTATATTCAGTAAACTTCTGTCTCCTTTCAGGAAAAACAAAAAAGAATGTTCAATCTCAAGTTATCTATCACACTGCTGAAGAGTGGTAAAGGGAAGCCCTTAGGATATGGGATGCTTGAGAAGAGGAGGAGGAGATACTCATTTTATTCCCTAACAGGGCCATGAAAAGAAGTGTTCTCACCTGGAGGCATCAGAGTTAAAATAACGTACCTGTTTTTGTTCCCCATAGCATCCTGTGCTGTCCTTTGACTTTCCTGCTAAGATCATATGGGAGGGAGAATCCATTCCTCCTTCTTTCCTGATGTCCAGGAACAATTTAATGACTGCATTGATATAGAACTTGACCCTCCCCTCCCCACTCTGGTTTCCTGTATTCTGAGAGTTCTTTTTCCATTTTCTCCCTTCCCACTTTGCCTCATTTCTTTTTATTGTTTTTAAAGTTTTTTTTTAAATGTTTATGAGAGAGAGAGAGGGTGAGAGAGAGCGAGAGCATGAGTAGGGGAGGGGCAGAGAGAGAGGGAGACAGAGAACTCGAAGCAGGTTCCATGCTGTCCATGCAAAGCCCAACATGGAGCTCGAACCCAAGAACTGTGAGCTCATGACCTGAGCCAAAGTTGGACACTCAACCGACTGAGCCACCTAGGCACTCCCTTCTTAGAGGTTTTAAAGCCCTACCCCGATCCTGTTCTGTGAGCTAAGAAACCAAACAGTGGGAGAATTACTCTTTTAAAAAAAATTTTTTTTAACATTTATTTATTATTGAGAGACAGAGAGACACAGAGCACGAGCAGGGAAGGGGCAGAGAGAGGGGGAGACACAGAATCTGAAGCAGGCTCCAGGCTCTGAGCTGTCAGCACAGAGCCCGACAATGAGGCTCGAACTCATAAACTGCGAGATCATGACTGGAGCTGAAGTCGGATGCTCAACCGACTGAGCCACCCGGGCTCCCCGGAGAATTATTCTAAGGATATACCTAGGAATTAACAAAACAAAATAGAAACAGATAAAACTCTATTCACATAGCTGGGACTCCAGGAAGCCAGAAGTTCAACATCCAAAGCCTTATGAGAGAAAGAGACTTGCAGGTTACAGACTTCTGGGGCCCAAAGCCCAGGAGGTTTCTGGACTTCATACCTGCTCCAGAACCTGTGCAGCTCGAGTTGGTCTTTATTCATTCTATAGTGATGTAGCAGCTGCTCTTCACATATCTTTTCTTCCTCATGTCACATGGCTGATGCTCTGAATTTCTAGGTCCAAATACTCAAAGAAGGAATCTCATTGAAAGCCAGTATCTATTATTCCTCTTTAGACTGAGCATTTTATACCAGCCTCTTAAAGCTACTGGCCAGCCCAAGGGTTATTTGTCTGCAGGTCAGGCGCCTATGTGTCAGCCAGTCAGGTGTTGCTTGGGAAGGGGAGATGGTCAGATGACTAGACAGCCTCAGGTCTTCTGCGTGCCTCCCAGCAAAGAATACGGGTGGGACAGTTTCTCATAGGAGTTGTGGGTGAGGTAGGTGGCATGATTCATATGTGGTCATAAATCTTCTTTCCTTTGCTAGATAATCTTTCCTCAGCAATACTGACCTGGTGTCAAACGATGCCTTAACATTGTAGTGCAGTGGTTCTCTCTTGGGAGCAGGTAGCGAATGGGAAAGAGACCCTCTCAGAACCCCTGGTGAGGTCTACCAAGGGGGCTGTGTTAGTATGCTAGGGCCGCCATAACAAAATACCATAGACTGGGTGGCCTAAACCACACATGTATTTCCTCACAATTCTGGATGCTAGAAGTCCATGTTTAAGGTGCCAGCAATTTCAGCTTCTGGTGAGGGCTTTCTTACCGGCTTGCAGACAGCTGCCTTTTTGCTGTGTCCTCACATGACCTATCCTCTGTACCTGCCTAGAGAGAGAAATCTGTGTATTCTTCTTATGAGAACACCAGTCCTATTGGATTAGGACCCCACCCTTGGGACCTCACGTAACATGCGTTACCTCTTTATAGTCCATGTCTCCAAATATAGTCATTATGGGGTTGGTCTTATTGGACTCCTACAAAAACATTTTGGGAGGACATATTCAGTCCATAACAGGGAGACATGGTTATTTTAAGAATCAATCATAGTGCTGTTTGTGATTTGAAAGTTCAACAAAAATTAGAGAATGGGAGTGTGTTTTTTAAGTTCCTCAAAGAGAAACATAATTGAAAAAAAAATCAAACTTTTTTTCATGTCTAAGACAACTAGTGCCATCAAGAAGGTCACAGATGTATAATCTTGAGAACAACTGTCCCTCAGGGTAGCTGGGTCAGTGCCTGGTTTGAAGTTAGTGCAGAACTAATAAATTCTACTCATGAAACCTCCATTGACTTTTGGGGGAAGGTACAGAATTTCAGGATTTTTCCCTTTTTTTTTTTCTTTTTTTAAATTTTTTTTTCAACGTTTTTTATTTATTTTTGGGACAGAGAGAGACAGAGCATGAACGGGGGAGGGGCAGAGAGAGAGGGAGACACAGAATCGGAAACAGGCTCCAGGCTCCGAGCCATCAGCCCAGAGCCCGACGCGGGGCTCGAACTCACGGACCGCGAGATCGTGACCTGGCTGAAGTCAGACGCTTAACCGACTGCGCCACCCAGGCGCCCCGTTTTTTTTTCTTTTTTTAACACACAAGTGAGAAGCTGTGGTTTCGTAACTGGAAAAGCCATGGCGGAAGACATCCATGTTAGAATAATGTTGTGAAAGGGACAGAGATCAAATTATCCTCCAAGAATTACATGTGAGACCTGGAATGGGGTAACTGATGGGAGCCTAGGGGAGACACAGTATCTTGACCTTGATCTCGAGGGCATTGCAAAGCCATCATGGTACCTTTGGGATGGTCGTGGTTGGTTAAGTAGAGGAATAGAATGATAGACCGTTGATATCAGTGTAGTAAAGTGGTGTCCCTGGGGACCAATATGTTAACCGAGGTCACCAGAGGGAAACTGGCAGTTATACTTCCTTTCCTCTCTCTTTGGTAGGACATCACAAATCCTTGGTCCTGCTGAGGCTGGATGTATAATCTTAGAACACTTCTCAGCCCAGTAAGCCACGTGCGGTCACCTAACACAAGAGATCAAACTGTTTTGCCGCCCCAGGCCTAAAACTATGCTGCCTTAATTCCTCTCCCCTGCCTTTCCTGAGTTTCTCCTAATAACTGACCCCAGAACTCGCTGTAACTGAGGACTGCACGCGTGTTGCCAGAGATCCACATTAGAAATATGTTAGCTCTGGATATGACTAGGTATTTTAGTGCCGAGTATAGTCCTAAAGGCCAACCTCCCCTCTTCTCAACTCCAGTTTCTAGAACAAAATTATGCCTTGTTCTTGTTTCTATCCCAGTCCAAGGTGGAATGGTTCCTGTGGTGATAGTTTGTAGGGTGCTCATGGCTCCCCACCACACAGCATCAAGGCCTCTGGTGCCAGTCCATTCCCCTGATTTACCTGCCTTTGTCATCTTGTGTTTCTCAAATTATGTCCAGGGCCAACTTAGCTATGCTAGATACTTCATCTGCAGTAACAAGTTAATACAAGGTAAAAAGTATGAGAGAAAGAAGCATGGTGGGTGACATATCTAATTTCAGGGTGATACAGTAAAAATGATGATTTTTTAAATATATTCTGTAGAAATAACATTTCCCCCAAACTTTTGCAATGTGTTTTCTAGACAACTGGGACTGGACCTGGTGCCTAGGAAGGAGTATGCGATGGTGGACCCAGAGGACATCAGCATTACAGAGCTCTACCGATTGGTAGGTACAGGAAACCTTGGCTCATAACCTCACTGCTAATTTTGTGGTTTCCATGGCACTCTTCGTACTTGATTGATTTTGTAAGAACAGGATGTTCCAAGTTTAATTTGGAGCAAGTAGAGAATTGAGAGCTGAGGTGACCATGCCCCAAGTTAAAACACCGAGGTACTTTCCCTGTTTGAGAATCACATGATGTGCTCTGCTGAGCTCTCAACATTTAAATACTGGGAAGTAAAACTAAAGAAGTTTTAAGTTCTTTTGCACATCTTTGTAGCTTTCATTAATCTAGTGAAATGCCTGCAAGTCATACATATTTATCTGTGTGTTTCACAACAGGGCTGTGACTAATGACATCCAGTTATTGATCCCCAACATGTTACCCCACTCGGTCCTCCCATTACCACTATGCCCAAATACCATAGAAAGTGTCTCCTCCATTGTCTCCAACTGCTGGTGTCACCCCCACCCCTCCTAGACCCTAATCCATCTTAAGTGCTAAAGTCTGGTAATAATCCTAAGATATTTGATCATATTGCCCACCATGGAATCACCTGTGACTTGAGTTTTCTTCTAGTTACATGGTAGGTTAAGGTTCACTTATTTACTTGGCATCTAGATTCCCCAAATCTAGTCCAATCAACCTTGTATTTAGCCTTGTATTCTTTTTTTTTCAGTGTTTATTTATTTATTTTGAGAGAGAGTGAGAGAGGGCATTTTTTATTCATTTATACATAGAACATTTATTCATTTATACATAGAGCATTATTTGCATTTTGAAAATGTTTATTTTGAGAGAGAGAGACAGAGGGGAGGGGCAGAGAGAGAGAGAGAGAGAGAAAGAAGCCCAAGCAGGCTCCGCACCATCAATGCAGAACCTGATGTGGGGCTCGAACCCCTGAACCATGAGATCATGACCTGAGCTGAAATCAAGAGTTGGATGCCCAACCGACCGAGCCTCCCTGGCACCCCTAGCCTTTTATTCTTAATACTTGCATAAAAAATTAACTAATCTCTTGATATTAACTAGGCCCTTTTAAAACCCCCAGTAAAAGAAAAATGTGTTCGGGAAGGGCTTTCAAAGGCTAAAGCTCCACGCATCTTACAGTGATGCTCAAAGGAGTACCTTTTGCAAGATCCTGCCTCTTTTGGATAGCTTCCCAAGCTTACAATATTCTTCACAGAATATTGGGATTTTCTTCGCCTGAGATTATCTGTATCTGAAAAATGAGAGGAAAAATCATCAGTAAGCCCATTAGGGCTTATGTCTGATCATAGAAAGCAATTCTTGTGCCACTTTTTTTCCTTAGTCGCTCATCTGTTTGGAGTATCTACACTTTATTATATCAGTTGGAATTAGTTCTCTTTTTTTGTAGAGAATTTCCTTCACATTGAGCTTCTTGAGAGTGATGTCTCATGTGGCACACCTTTGTGCCAAAGGTGGTACACCTTGACCTTTGCGAGTCAAGAAGCAGGAAGTTTGTGGCATCAGTGCTAAGCAGAATATTGGGTACGTAGCAAAAACACAGTTAAAGGTTAATTGGAGGGAGGCAGCGAAAGAGGAAGGAGACAAAATAAGAGTTTTCCAAGGTAAAATTATCACGAATTCTTAGCTTGTATAACAAGTAAAATGAGTTTAATTGATTTGCCAGTCGTATCCTTTAATGAGACATCTTTATTTTAGTTGTTTTATTTGACTCATTAAGCATCAAATTTGTCTCTCACTTCTGTTTTTTAATCTCACTCAATTTGAAGTTTCTTCAGAGTGGGCACTGTCTTATACTTCATCTGTTATGCCCAAGATAGTCTTGTACAGTGCTTTGTACTTAATAAGCAATCACTCACACTATTTTTGAGGTTGTTATGGTATTATGAAAAGACCAGTGGGTATAGATCCAAAAAAGTAGATGTGAATTTTTTCTCTTCCCTTTACCAGATCTGTGGTCTTGAGCTGATTGCTTAGTCTCTCTCTCAAAACTTCAATTTCTTCGTCTATTAAGTAAGGAAATAATTCTTACCATATTTGTTATGAAGATTAAATAAGAAATGCATGTAAAATACCTTTCCTTGGCAGTTAATGTTGCCAGAGCACCTAAGCATTTAGTTGATTTTCATGCTTCGTTCACCTTTATTTCATCCTTATTAGGCAAAGTGGCAAGAATAATTGATACCTTATATGGTAAATGTTAAGACTAGATCTGGCTGTGGCCAATGAAATAAATAATAGAAGCTTCGACATAATACAAATTTCTTTCTTTCTCACAATATACAAGCCAACAGGCAGGAAGTTCTGGGCTTGTATGTGCTTTCATGGTGTCAAAAGTGATACAGGCTCTTATTTTTCTCTATAAAGTACTTGGCTTCCGTCATCAAGGATACTTGAATGTATAATATAGCTGCAAGGGCTGTAGCCATTACGTCCACTCTCCAGCAGTAGAAAAGAGGTAGGTTCTGCTCAGTTCAACAACTTGAAGGGAGCTTTGCTGGAAATTCCACACAACATTTGCAGTTCCATTTCACTGGCCAGATCATACTAGTCACATCTCCACATTTAGCTAGGAATATCAAATATTTGATAAGCAACTAATAATGTCTTAGGCAAATACATTTTATTTTTTCTAGTTTGATTCTGTGTGTGTGTGTAATTGTATCTTTGTTCCTTTCATTTTGTGTCTTATACGGGATGGCAAATTGACTTCTTCTCTTTCAACATTCTAATTTGTTAGTGGTGGTGCCAGGAGTGCTATGTTGATAGGACCCTAGGGTCTTACCTGGACTGGGATGGACCAGCAATGACTGCCACAGGTGGAAGAGACTGCTGCTGATGAGCAGTGACCACCATTCGAGGGTGTTTTTCATTTTTAATGCCTCAAAACCTAGCCCAAACTCTTCATTTGTGATTTTACATGAAATTTCTCCCAGTAGTGGTTGTATTTTACTGTTTCTAAAGCAAACAATAGCCCAAGAAAAATGCAAATTATTATAAACTTCAGAAGGACATGTTACCTTCAAGCTTCAGGTTTCTGTTTATATCCTGGGTAGCAATACTTCACATTTTCCATAGCACTGGTCTTTTCCTGCAGGTAACATAGAGTGAGTGACTTCCTTACCAGGAAGAATTTTGCAGGTATCACCACCAAACCCTTTTTGTTGTTGTTGTTGTTGTTGTTGTTGTTTATTGTCTCTTAGGGATCAAGGGCCTTGGCATACAGTAGAGGTTGTTTGTTGTCTTTTAAATGTCTTCTCCATGTTCTATTTGAAACACAAGTGTTTGCACCTTACTAAATCCATACATTATCATTGGGGTGGGGGGGGGGGAGTCTTGCTTTAGGTTTTTGATAGCCCATTAGCAGACCCTTCTCACCCGATTATGTTCATCTAAGCAGTTAGCACATGCTAAACCTCACAGTGTTAACATATGTCCACTTGGAACTTTTGGTTTTCCGCCAAAGGCCAGATCTCAATACTTCTATAAATAAAGAGAACCGTAGCTAGATTCTCTGGTTAACTGTGCATGCAGAGTATCTTTTTATGAACCTTTCTTGGTTTTATAAGATCATGTTAGCTGCTTGCTTTGTGATCCTTAGTGTATAGACCAGTGGTTCTCAGAGAGCAGGGGACATTTGTCAATGTCTGGAGACATTTTTGGTTGTCACAAATGGAGATGAGGTGGGATGGGGGTGAGGAGAGTGCTGGTGGGTAGAGGTCAGAAAAAGCTGCTAAACATCCCACAAAACCCAGGACAGCCCCACAACACAGAAATATCCTGCCCAAATTATCAGTAATGCTGAAGTTGAAAAACCATGGTATAGACCATTCACCCAGTAATTTATACATTATATGAGGACACAAAATTTGCATACCTTAAATAAATCTTTGGAATGAATCTTTTTCTTTCCTAATCAAAAATCTGGTTAAACTGTAAGCACATTTAGAGTAACTGATAGGTGCCTTTTAACCATAAATTATTTCTGAGATGGATTTTTGTCTGTTTATTACAACTGCCAAATTATCGCCCTTGATGTGTGAACATGCCTTTTTAATTTTGTTTTTGTAATACTATTTTCACAGAGATATTTTTAGCATTTCTCCATAGTAGTGAGTTTCCAAGAGATAAATAATCATAACCTACTTAAGTCCAAATCTCTTCCAGACCTGGAACAGTGGTGGGTGAAGAGAGGGGGGACTTTAGTGCAATTTGTGAGGACACATGTCACATGTGCATAATCAGGGTGGAAGCAGGCAGGCTTATTACAAGCATGCATGCAAAGATCCAAGGTTGCAAGGCAGTAACTGCACAGAAGATGCAACAATGCATTTTTCAGTCAGCTGTGATTTGCATGTCTTAGCATATGATCTCAATCAATAGTTTTCAACCCTCATTGCACATTAGAATCACCCGGGGAGCTTTTAAAACTATCACTCTCTTGGCTCCCCCATCCCCTAGAAATTCTAATTTAATTGTTCTGGGATAGGTCCTATGCATAAGTATTTTTTAAAAGCTCTCTTGGTGATTCTAAAGTGCAGCCAAGGTTGAGAACCACTGATCTAGATATATTGAATTCCTTGCATGAGTAAAGGAGCTTTCCCCCCCTCCCCCCCTGCCAGGGCTTAGTTTTTAGTGAATGTCATGACTGATGCTAGGGACTCTGTGCTATTTGAAGAACAGACAACTCCTTGAGGTCCTTTATTTAAATAAGGTTTTTTTATGCCTGTTTTTCCCACTCTAGTCTTTGGTAGTCATTCATTTGTTCACGGTACTTGGTGCGGTATTACCCTGAACTTTTAAGTATACCAGTAGATAGTTAGCATTTTTCAGAAAATAAAAAGGCTCTCTGTGAGTTAAAGAGATGCAGTTATGTGAATGTATGATGCTTCTTTTGCTCTGTTGAAAAAGAATTTTGAAAGAGCAATATAGAGCAGCCTTCTCAGAAAACAATGCTTATGCCTTTTTTTTTTTTTTACTGATAGAATATTTCTCTGCAGGAAGCTTTTTCTAGCAATTATGACTAACACATAACAATGCTGAGGTGCACTTTACAAGAAAGTGTACTTAACTTCACTTTCACAGAGAGACGTCCATTGTACCTGTTGAGTATACAGTGATTACAGATGCATTTGGTTAATTGGGTTTTTAAACTGTTTACTTTTTGAGTAGTTCAAATTAAAGATAAAAGCATGAAAAAATCATGGTAATTTCATTGTTACATTTACAACTGTAAGTTTAGATGGCATATTTTTCCTTTCAAATGTTGGTCAGTCAGCACTTGTTGAACTAAGAAACATAAAAGGATAACTAATGTACAGAATTATGTACCTTAACCATAAGCAAAGGATATTACCTCATTACTATGGAGTTAATTCCTGAGCTGTTTTTTTTTTTTTTTAATTGTCAGGTCACCCAAAAGAGGTGGTCATTAGTAAGTCTTTGTTAGGAAAGCAAAAGTCCTCCACATTCTTAGCACCTGTTCTGTGAATACACAAGTGTTTGTGTATGTTTTCCCCATGCTCTTACCCTGAATCAGTTCTCCTCAAAGGTGGTCCATGAACTAGCTGGACCATGAACTGTTTGTAGTTGGTCCAAGTACAAAAATGGTGAGTAAAGGTTTAGAAACAAAAAGTATCTGTTTATAGTAGATTGAGGGGAGAATAAGCTGGTTTTTTTCTCTACATAGTCTGAGAAGCACTGTCCGAGATGGTTCTTCGGCCCGGCTCATTCTTTGGCTCTTGGCCAAAGTATCACTGTCTAAAGACGCCTCCTCTGACTGCCCGGATGCAAAGGCAGATTGCTTCCTTATAGATGTTCATGATAATCTGGTTCTTCCCTTCCATTCATCACAGTGTATTTTTCCATCTGTATGTGGGATGATTTTGCTGATGTCTGTTCCCTCTGGTAGATAAGATCTGTGAAGGTAGGGGCTATTTCTGGTTTTCCTCATCAGTGTGTTCCCAGTGCTTGGCACATAATAGACATTTAACAAGTATGTGTTGCCTGAATGATCACCCGCATGTTCTCTTCACCCCTGAAACCACGGGTGAATCCTTTCCTCCTTTATTTTGTATTATTTCCCACTTCTGATTCTGCCTCCCAAGTGTAGCCCATGTAGCCATATTGAGGGCAGAAATGAGATGGATATGGATGCTGCTCTTCCCCTTAGACATCTCCCTGACTTTCCCAGTCTGCCTCCATATAGCTCCACTGCAAGTTAGAAATATCTTCTTGCTCTAGTGATTGAATATCACTTGCCACAGCATGTCTCAGAAAACTACCACAATTTTGCAATTGAGTATACATAAAAGGACTTTGAACTATGACAGATGTGAAGTGACAGTTGCATTGTTGAACTGCCATCAGTGAAATGACCAGACAGATTTAGTCTGGTTTTCAAAAAGAATTTGATAATGTTTATTTATTTTTGAGGAGGGTGGGTCAGAGAGAGAGAGGGAAACACAGAATCTGGAGCAGGCTCCAGGC